TGTTAAACCTTTTTCCATGCCTTTGACTTATGTTAATTTAGAAGCTGGGTTGGAATCTCAGCCTCTCAGGGGCCATAGACTGACATTTTTATGGGAGTGGTTCTGAGTTACTGTTTGGATGCTGTACTGATTGTGAGATAAATGAGAGCTTAACGTCTTCTGAGAGACTTGGTAGAGATGATGATTTTCCTCAAGTCTTGTACTTTTCCAGGACTTGTAATGAGACTACAAATTGAATTGAAGCATTAGCAGAAAAGAAAGAACAATACTTTTATTGTGTAGTAGATGCAACAGTGCATCTCAGTCAAGGTGTGACTTCCTTATTTCTAGGACAAATCTTTACATATTACAAAAGAATAACAAATTAGAAACTAATTGCCTTGTAACTTTAGAAAACTGCTTTAAAATGCTTTAAAAGCTACTGGAGAAGTGTCCAAATTTAAATAATTTTAATATTAGTGCCAAGCAAAAAAATCACAGCATCTGCACCATCTGCACATCACTGAACATATTTGGTATAACATGCATAAACCCTCAATCACTGGCAGAAGGGCATGTCTTTATTAATAAGCCACCTAACCCATCTGTCTAGCTAGTCCTATTATTTAAAAAGGCAAACTGATTACTTTACCCCACAGCTCTTATTGGGTAAGAGAAGGGCTCAGAGTATTTCACAAAATTATTCCTTGCCTCAGTTTTATGGCTGTGCTGGAACAGGACTAGTACAGTACAGTAAGCACTAAATCAATTCATACAATGCACTTCTTTGTGTACTGAACTGAGCTAAATCCAAAATCTGAGACTAAGTCCTTTTGCATAAAATGATTGCTCTGTTTCTGTGCTCAGTGCAGCCTGCAGCCTCAAAGGTCTTGGAGTTGTTCTGACACAATGAAAGAAATACTTATTCAGAGGACATGATCTTCAGTAGGCAAACAACCACCAACAAGAAACAGATGGATTTCAACAGATAAATACAGAATGAAGATTGAACTGACTACAGGGAGATTTATTTAGCAACTGTTTCCAATTTATCTTTGAGATGTACAGTAGCAGCAATTTATAAGAAGTCAGAGCCAACTTGCTATTTACATTGCATATAAACAAGCCTAAGTGAATAATTAAGCCACTGAAGTACTTGTTTTTCAAGCTGTGTAGGCTGTTTGGAAGCCCTACTACCTCCTAGCATTTCTAATTTCTTGAGGATCCTAAAAATAATGAGTATTACTACGAAGTCTTATGAGTTTCTCAGAATGCAGATATGTGAGCAAATTTAAAGGCAAGTTCTTGTATTTATTTTAAGATTATACTCTTAATATGGATATTGTCATAGAAAATCACTCATTCAGAAATAACTGCAAACACATCAAATAAAACTGCGTAATCAGACTTCATGTTAAATTTCAGTATTATTGCTAATATTTTTATAAATGCTTATGCTTTACATTAAATTTGGAGATTTAAAAGCCCAAGAGTTACTGCTATTGGCAACTGAAGTCTTTTCTCTGCCTACTAGGACATAGTGTTGTTTGGCCAGCATATCTCAGTTTTTAACCAACAGTTTTACTGCCAACCCTCAGAGACTAATCCTATTGTTAGCAAAGACAAAACACATTGGATAGAGCACTGGGGGCATATATTGAATTGAGTAACTGGGGTGATTACTGCAGTAATCAATGCAGATAGTGACACATAGGAGCTTTGTGGCAATTTTTGTTGCATGTCCTTGACTTTTATATCTTCCATCTTTTATATCTTCCATCTTTTATATCTTCCTGTGCCTTACCATACCAAGCTGGCCTGACTGGGGGGCTTTGCTAGCTTCTGAATATTTAACACTCATTATCAGCACTTTTTACAAAATGCTATGATGGTTTAATGATGTAGGAATCTGTCTCCCAGCAAACAGGCTAAGATGAGCAAGACAGCACAGATCATTGAACAGCCGATGGCAAATTTCAGGTGTCACATTATCATCCTATGCTAACATGGAGCAGGAATCACATTTTAATATGTTTTCACTTGTCATGTCAAGGACTTCTGCTTTACTAAGAATAATATCAGTAATATAAATAATGACCATATATACAACACTATCTCCATCATTTATTTCTGACAGCAAAGACAGGCTAAAGCTAAGACTGACAGCATGGCTTCTTTTCCTATATTCACAATGTATGTTTTTATAAATTCATATGCAACTTCCTGAGTGTTAAAGTGTGTTGTCATTTGTATAGCTAAAGCTCTCTAAGATGCATATTATACAGTGAATGAAACAAAAATCTTCAGGCTTTTCACTCCTTGTATAATTCCCTAGAGTTCCACAGACATTATAAAAACCCTTAAGCCATAGAACTGTGACCGAACAGTATTTCATACAGTATTTATATACACTTCTGAACAGAATATTGCACTGTATGAACAATCTTTGCAACTTCCAAATATTTATGTTTCTAAATCTTGTCCTTTGTATGGCTGCAGAAATAGCAGGAAATAAACCCTCCCTTGTGTATTCACAGGAATCTGGGTTACCTCGCTTTTAAACCAAATTCAAAACATACTTCAAAAGCAATTGCCACACAGAAGACACTGTTAATGTGAGTAACTTGCTTATATCTCTGCCATATGAAGTTAAGGGTCATGCATTGTCCTGAACATATCAATACATGCAAAAAAAGCTGATGTTATTTTCCTCTTTCAAATCCACTGAGAATCCATAGACAGCTGACACTCTTGACATTTACATAAAACTTGAATCTATTTATTCAGTTAAAAAGCTGTAAACTTACACAAATGTTCTCCCAACCTGTGTTTTAGGTTTGGTTTCAAAAATCAGTTTATGCAAAATTTTTAGATCAGACTGTTCTCTATGCAAAAAGACTGTTCTCTGTGATTGTGTCTCAAGACACAACAAATTCTGTGAGCCCTTTAATAAAAATTCCTCAGCATCCACATTTTAGGAAATGTTTTTTTTTACATTCCCTTAGTTTCTGTCCAGCTAGTATTATGAGTATATGTCTCAAGTTCACTAAAGCAAAAAAATGACTTTTCTGTATGTTTTTTTCATCAGTCAAGTTTTCTAATACTGTTAGTTATTCTTTTGGGCTTTGTGTGAATTTGTTGTGAGCATCTGGCCTACAGTTGCTTCTGCTGCAGAAAGAAATACCAAAGTGTAGCTCCCATTCTACAACTTTCTGGAAATGCCTACTCATTGCCTTATACTTACAGTAAATACAGAAGAAAGACTCTCAAAAAGCTGGTGGAAGCTGGAATATTTACATAAGAACAGGATAGTCATTGCATGTGGGAAAGCAACGAAACTCCAAAAATTTGGGCAATGAGGAGAAAGGATGGTGAGTAACTTTCTTCTTGGCACTCTGTTGATTAGTAGAGCTGCTCACAGCAATTATTCAAACATGGAATGTTGGAGCTCTCTCGTTCCACCAAACATTAATTTTATTGTTATGGCCCCAAGGGTCTACCCCTGCCCCATTGTGCAGGAACTTGGTTTCAATCCTGAAAAATGGTTAATGCCAGTATTGCAAAATCTATATAAGTGTTTCTTTCAATGGCCACCACTTGCAGAAAAAAATAAGGTTATATATAAAAGACTCTTAGTCTCCTTCATCGACTTGACCCTGGTCAAAACTTGAAAAAATTAGATTTATCCATAAGATTTCTAATGTAATTAGTGGGAATTTTGGGTCTAAACTGCCTTTACAGTTTTAGAATCTCAGATTATGGTTGCTTGCAATGTTTAGGGCAGAAAAAGAAACAAAGACATATTTAGGGTGGCTGCTACTTTCTCTTGAATCAGGAGGGAAAAAAAAAAGCTGTGAAAGGTATTCTTACAATGTAAATTAATTTTATTCAAAACAGATTAAAAAACTAACAAAGCTTGCCTAACTACATGAGGTAGTACATGTAGCAAAAGAGAATGCAGAATATGGTATTCTGAAATATGAAGAATATGAATAAGTTTACAAGTTGGAGTGAAATAAATTCAACAACAGAAACAAAATATACCAAAAATAAAGTTTAACAGCTTTTTAGTCTTAAAGCACCAATACACTTTTCATAGAAAGAAACATAGTATCACCACTACATGTTCTTCATATACCATAATATGGTAAAATTAATGTACCAAGCTGTTCACCATAAATGAATTCTTTAAAAATGTGAAGCAACAAATGACCTAATTGTCACTGGGCTTCATACCACTATACTTCCTGGCCTGCAGGAGTATTTGCCAGGTCACAAGGAGCAAGGTTAGCCTTTGTTACCATTTTCTTTGGTTTTTTTGAACATTTACTCCCATATTCATGTTTGGCATATTGATAACATGTACAGCTTAAGGCTATAAGCTTGCAAATTTTTTTGTATGTGTACAATTCCACATTTTTTTCTGAACTCAAATTTAGGTAAATTGAAGGAATCACATAGCAAAAATAAAGCATGTGTTTGTGCAGAACTTCAGGCTTATTCATTAATTTCAGGTTACTGCACTTCTCAATACAAAGATTTTACGAGATCCTTCAAGGTTATGTATGTCTGTTTCACACACCCATCCCAAGACAATGGGATATCTGCAAAGGATTGGACCGTAATGAACTATGGCTATTTGAATTAAAGAGCTTAGCAGCATCCAATAAATCTGTTATTAATCTATTTTAAAAATAATTGACATGAATGGCCCAGTCTCTTAAGAATACTTTTTAACGGAAAACATGCTAGTATGACCCAGGACTTCTTCATACATTTTATATTTCCTAATTTATTTCAAAATAGGTATTTGTACTTGTTATGATTAGTGTAAAATTGAGAACAGTCTAGCTCTTCATTGATGCTTTCATGGCTAATGCTACTTTAAATCATCAAAAAGTTATATATGCATTTATTTTACTTTAAGGCATGATTTATTTTATCAAAATATTGGGATGACTTATGTACATTGGAAATAAAAACTCAGGCCTCCCTCTGGTATAGTTTTAAGGTTACTGTTAGTGGCATATATAAAGCACCATATAATAATATATTTAGATAAAGAAAACAAAGAACATTTATGAGCTTTGAATTAACTGTATAGGAGTAACTGCTAAGAAAATATAGCAATATTTAACACAGGATTCAAAGTAATGTTATATATCATTATAGATTTTCAAATGCATTTTTCTCCCATGTTTATTTTTACAATTTTTTTCATTAAGATTTATATGTAATTTAAACTTTTTGGTGGAAAGCAGCATACATCTTCTGTACAATAATGTTACAGCTTTATACAAATTTTAGGAATCACATGAAATGGCCTGTATTAATCTTTTCCAAGTGCTCTGTATTCACTTGCCTGTTTGATGTTTTACTTGCTAGATTCAAACAACAGCAAATACTCTGAAAGCCTTGCTTCCTGGAGGATTCTGTAAACTGAAATATAAAGACATTTTTTATGTTATTTTTAAGACAAAAACACTCCAATAACAACTTTTAAAATTTTTCAATTGTTAATTCTAGTATCCTGCAGCACTTTGTGTGACAACTCCTAAAATTTATCTATTTAGGATTTCTTTAAAACTGCTACAAATAAAAACGATATAAATTTCAGATTTTTTTTTTCCAAACAGCTTAACTGGAACAAAATCCAACATAAAAAAAATTCAAGTAATCCTCTGTGATGAGGGATTCTGGTTTAAAGAATTGAAGCAAAATGCTAAAAGTGTTTTGAAAATAGAGAAAACATACATCTTATGCTTACTCTTCTAGCAACTCTATTTGGAGAGAACTTGCAGACTCAGGAGATCACTTGTTTGTTAGTTGCTCTTAAGATGAAGAATAGATTTCTACAGAGACCTAATATCTAACAAAACCAAAGGGAATGCCTTCTGAATGGATAAGTATCTGGTTTAAAAAGAAAAGAAACAAAAACACCCAATTCCAATGAAATGTTGATAGAATGAGTATTTTTGCCTTAGAAGTTGGACCAGCATGTCTTATTTAATGGTTCATTGCTTTTTCTTCAGGCAACCCTGTCTGAAGTTTATCTGGGAAGGAAAGGGAAATGGAGGTGGAAGCAAGGAAAGGCACGATGGAACAGGTTGGCTGTAACTGCATGAGAATTCATCATCTTCTGCTTCACAGAAAACTTGCATGTGACTCTTTTCCAAACTGCTGACCTCCCAAACTTTACCAAGATGATTAATATGTAAATATATGTGTATTTATACATAGTTTTAAATGTATATTTATAGATTGGATAGAATACCTATATTAAAGCATAAATATCAAATTGGCAACATTCTTCCTATTTGCCTCTCTATTCAAGAAAATTTATATGGAGAGCAAAAGTGTCAGTAAGGAAGCACTCTAAGGGAATTAGATGATCACAGAGAAAAATCAAAAAATATGTAAAATAAGCCATCCATTGAGCAAAGAAAATCTGTATTTTACAAGCTTTCAGAACTGTTGAAGAGAGAGAAGACATTATCCTACCCACAATTAAAAACAAGACAAAAATACTCATTATTTTCCTACTTCTGAGTTTTTTACAGAAACCTTTTGAAGTTTTTCCCACTCAAATTTCTCAGAAAGACTATCGTCTGGTTAGGTAACCATAATTTTTAGTCTAAGAAACATTCTTAGCTTTACAGGACAAAAAGAGTGGTACAATGTTTTTATAGTAATTTCTCTTTCTTGCTATAGAACCTGGAGAACCCTTTCAGGGATTAAATTAAATCTGCAACATATAGCAATGTGTTATCAGCACACAATGTATAAATACACTCAATACAAGCAGTGAACTTTCACAGCATCTCCCTGTCTTTCAAAAAACACTGTTAACAACAAATTATTAAAAAAGAGAACATCAATAATATGTTTAAATGATTGTGAATTTTAATGCTTGTAAGTATTAAATATGATTCAGGATCACTGGTTTGATACCATGTAAATCACTAATGAACCAATCAGGAACAATGAACATAATAATGAACATCAGGAACCAATGAACCTGCATCATTAATGCTAACTTTTAAAAAATCCTTAAAAACGTAACTGCAATTTTACTATTAAATATTGAGAGAGAACCAGCAAATCAAATAAATATTAAGAGAAATATAAATAATAAGAGAACCAGCAAAGCAAACAAGAGGTGTACTTTATTTCATAAGCAGCTTTTCAGGGTAATGTACGAGCTTAGAGGAGGCAGGCAGCTCCACCAGCACAGCTTCTCCAAAGTCACCCCAGCTGCTGTCACACAAGCCCTGTAAATCACCCCTTGTGGCCTGCTTGTTGGGCTTCTAGCACTGCCCCAGGTACAAGCAGACACAATGCAAGACTGTGAACCTTATCAAGGCCAAGAGTAAAGTGTAGCCTTTGTAAATGGGCTCTGTACCTTTCTGAATATATCCCATTTTGAAAGGAAGCCACATAGACCTTTCTTTTGTCCACTGGCATCACATCAACGTAACCGCCCTGGTTGCGGACCACACCAGCGTGCACTGCTGCCCGGCAGATGCTGGAGATCTGAGGAGTGAAGACACAGATTAGCTTTGCATTCATCCTTTGATTTCACCCTATCTAAGAAGAAATGTCGTGGTTTGACATGTCAAGCCATGACAGAAGACAAATACAGGTATTTAAACCAAGTCTAAGAAACATAAAATAATAATATTTATTGCATGACTAATTTTATTAGTCTTACAATATTTACATCAGGAATTCAGGAAGAGATTTCAGATCGCTTTCACCATGATGCAAAAATAATTTATTTCAGGCTATTTCAGTTCAAAGATCAGGAACATGTTTGAATTCTTCAGCCTTTCAAAATGAAAGGATCTATCAGCCAAAATCTCAAACATTACTGAAATGACTCATAATTAAAGGGAGCATTACAGTTTTCTATCCAGGCATGGGTAAATACTAAAAGCTAATTAGATAAAGGGTATAATGGGAGCATCAGAGAGAAGATAAAGGTCTAAAGTGAAAGTTCTCTGTTAAATTAACAGCACTTATAGCTGCTTGAAATCTCTATTTTCTAGTCACAAATTCCCCTTGTAAATCCATGAGGAATAAACAATAGCCATAAGAGGATTTCTCAGTGACATTCTTGATAACTTTTATTTAAATAATTGATTTAAACTTGCACTACTCTATTAGTCTTTCAGCACTTTAACAATTGTCAGAAGAATGAAACTTCTTAAGATATTCCAGAAGGTAGGTCCCAATATTTAAAAGACAGCACAGTAAAGTGCAGTTCCAGCTTCAGTATCTCTCCACTTAAAGATGAGGTATTTTGGTGGGAAAAGTGTTCAATGCAATAAGTTTCTCCACAAGCAACCTTAAAAATTTAGCCAATAGAAATATAAATAGCTGGTCAAAAAGGCCACGATTTAAGCAAAAAAACTGCATTTCTTCCAGTTATAATTGGAATATTTTATATGTTATCACAGCCATTTTCAATCTCAACGCTATATAAAATCAAGAATTTAAAAAGCAATGACCTTCCTACTTTCATTCTAAGCACAGGACTTGCCAGGTTCACTCATATATAGTTCACTCATTTATTGTTTATTAATGTTACAATATTTATCCAGTAAAGATCTGAAATAATTTATGCAAATAATCTTTTGTAAAGATGCTTTAGAGTTTTTCTCTCCACACTGCTGGGTGCAGTTTTTGAACATGCCAGAAAGGATGCCATTTATACCCCTCTCTACTTTTCCTCCTCCCAAGGTTGCAAAATGGTTTTTTATGCCCTGAACACCAATAGATGCTTTATTGTTAAGATTTCAGCACACTTTATTTATCCATACTGTGGAGTAACAAAAGAGTAGACTGATCATGTGCAATTTCAAATACCCAGGGGGAATAATGGCCTCTGCAATACAGGATTACAGTCAGAAGAAATAAAAGATTATATTTACAAGCAATTAACTACACTGAAGAACTAGAAGAACACCACTCTATTCATTCCTAGTACAATAACACAGCAGTAACTTTGTTTTCAGTTCTCACTGGAGATGTAAAAAAAGGATGGAGGTACAATCTCTCACCCTTTACATCATGATATAGGGGTATACTTTCATAATTACATATGAGGGTGGCTAAGATACTGGCTGTTCCAACATTATTTGGAAGTTTCTAGTCAAGTAAAAAGGAAAGGAAAAGTCAAGAGATGGAGATTTTGACAGAGCAGGCTAACTGCTTGCTGGAAACTATCTCCAGCAAAGGATGGAGCCATTGTTAGGGCTGCCACCACAACTGAACCAATCAAGTTGGCTGGGCTAATGCACTACATTTCAAAGGTGAAGGCAAGACCCTTGAATGGAATATGTGAAAAAGGAGAGGTCAGAAGACTGGGGTTCATGAAGCCAGCTCAGAAGCTATTGTCAGATGAAAAATAAACTGATATTTTGATGCTACATTCCAGATGAGACTGGAGAACAAATGCACATGGTTTTTGAATAAATGAACAATTACATGAGTATAAATTCATAATTATAAACTAGTTTGTAGGAATAGCTACAAATAGATGCACATAGTTTTATAAACATATACAAAATATCTTTTTTTACAAAGTATTATCTGTCCTTATCTCTCAATAACTTCTCATTGTCTTGAAATGAGACTATTAGACATGCATCTAAATAGAATCAGATTCCAGTAGTGATGCCACAGTATTTCCTATGCTCAATATTATGTCATCCAGATCACACATCCTTGAGCCACTAAGGCAAGCCTCCTTTTAATTTAAGAAAAACAGGATTTCACTATGTCTATCACAAATTTCAGCATATTATTTGTGGTTTACATTAGCATCCTTGTGTCACTTTCTGGAAAACTTCAAAGATTTGTTGTTGTTTCTTTCATTTTGATGAAGAAATTCCAAAGGATGTATAAGGCAGTATTTTTAAGTTAGCATGAACACTTCATACAGCATTACGTGGTCGTGCTTTATTACTGTGTTGTGAACACTCCTAATTTTATTAGCATTTTTAACAGGTCATAGGATCTGAATACCAAGTTAATTATTTTCCTTCTTCAGATACTCAACAAATACCAGTATCTACCACAGCATAGCACTACTCTACAAAGGCATTTAAACCACAAGTGTCTTTAACATACCATCACAGGAGCTATTTAATAGCCTTCTACATCATATTTTCTATATTTTCCCATAACAGAGAATTATGAATACTTTTGCAAAAGTTTCAGGGAATATTTCCATATATGGTTACTAAAACAAAAATTAGTATGACCAAAGTCCTCAAATGATACAAAATGATACTCCATTGAACTCTTTAGATAAAATATATTTGTTGGTCTCTAGGCCCTGTAAGAAATAAGGAGGCTGAAAAATTCAAATTAATTCTGTTCTGCAGATACATATATATCTCTTTTACCACTATACTCTCTGTACTAAAAACTACTGAATGCATAATATAGGTAAGCACCCTCAGTGTAAATGTCTACCCTGACAGCATCTGAAGTTGATAAGAAGACTCCCATCTCTGATTTTTTATCTGTACTTATGTCCATTTTTTCCTAAAAGCAATATGGCTGCACACATTTCTACATAATAGAGATGAATAATGAAATAGGACACCTAAAAAAAATTTAAAGTATGCCTCCATAACATTAATTAAAGTCATCTGGAACTTCTCCAGCCAAAGAAAATACATATTATGAGATTCCCCCTGTCAAGATTAAACACAATGTCTTATTTCTCCTACAACAGTCTCTTTTAACTCACTGGGAAACTTGGTCTGTAGCCCTTTATTGCAACCACAGAGCTGAAAAAAAAATCATCTTTCACAAACTGGACTTGCATTGAATCTATTTTCACTGCCCCTTTTATGTACATTAAGGATCCAGTACACAAATCAATTATCTTTCTAAACTGGAAATACTATTCACACCATGATACTACTTATGGACAAGAGTGTTTCCAGGACAAAACACTCAGTTAGTTTCATAATGCTTAAGAGTAAATACTCACATACTGGTTTCACACATTTCAAAGAACTGAAAAGTAGTAAAAATCATCATCTGACCCAGTAGTTGTCATACTATTCTTTATGACATCCATAAGGCAGTCAAACCCCAGATTTTACTGCCAAAAATACAAACTGCTTTCTCTGCCACTACATCCTGGGTCCTTCATAGAGACATGACAAAGGAGGGGCATAAATTAGAAATCTCTTTTCAGACTTTCTACCCACCTCAGAACTAAACATGCTGTAGAAAAGACAGGGAAAAAAAGTTGACTAGCAAACAGAATGACAAAAAAAAGTCTGTTAAAATAATATGACCGTGTGAGATACTTTACATAAGTATATCCAACTGTGTTGGAAATACTTAGTATCCACACACATAAGAAATATTCAAAATAACAAGACTGCAGACATTAATTTTAAGAGCAATATTTTTTGTAAAGTCTGGCAGAAGTTATGGTTGCATCAGAATCTAAAGTGCAAGGGTTTAAATGAGTATACACTGCTAATATTGAACAAATATAGAACAGTGGGAATTTTGATTGAAAAAAATTGAAAGTATGGGTCCAGAGTCTAGTGAAGCCTACAATGAGTTTTCAAATAACTTTCAATATCTTCAGCTTTTGACTACTGCTAACTTAAATAGGAGCCTCTGAAAATAATCTTTTAAAAACAAAGGGTTTCTTTTTGTAAAAAATCATCATATGGAGGAAAACTGTATATCAATATTCTATCTTAGAGTTACATTATAACTTTTTTCATAGAATTTTATATCTCATTTTATAACACAATGTAAATCCCCATACTTACATCAGAATAAATTCGTGTACCAATTACACGAGCATAGTGTGGATTTGCCTGCATACAGTTGTGAGGACAGTACACCCTGAAAGATCAAAAACAAAGCCACATACAGTTAGGAAGAGTATCAGAGCATTAATATATCATGTTCAATGACAGCATTATTAAATATAAATCAAGCTGATTGTCTATACATATGGATCCATAATGCTATTTAAAACCTGTCAGTTTTCAAGGCTTTGACCATACAACTGAAAGCATTGCTGATGTGTTGAATTTCACATGTCATGCTTAAAATCATACTTTAACAAGTCTGGTCTTCTTTCCTTTGGATAAGTAGATGGTGTTCTTGTTCAACACATGTGAGGCAAGTACAAACATCAGTGAGAAGACAGCCTGTTCATTACTCTATAATTTACCTACGTGCCCTACATAAAATGTACAGTCTCAGAAGAGGCAGATCTGACTGAGGACCTGCTTTGATACTGATGACCCAGTGACACAAGCCAATTTAGCAACTTATAATGAAGCTGAGCATTGGCATATGTGGCTAGAATGAAAAACCTTGGATTTTCATCTAGATGAATCTAGCTGATTCTGGGAGGTCAGAAACCTACTAAAACAAACATTGTCTTTATTAACAGCATTTTGTTAACATTTGAGGAAAACTTTTTCTGTGGTTCATGTCTTCTATACCTTCAAAATGCGCAGGAAAACCACGTGGGAAGCTAAGTGTAGTACAGAAAGTATCAGCATTTTATTTGCTAACTGTGATATGCTACAAGCAAGAATCATTGTCTGACTCTAGGTCTACTCTGAGCAACTTCATCTGAAAAATGGAGCCACCCTACATGGACAGACCTGGGCAAGTGTTCTTTTCTAAAATGTTATCAGAGCTCCAATCAATATTTGGGAAGTCAAATCACTTGGGCATGCTAGAGTCTTGCCAGATGGGTAACTAAAACATGCTGATAAGAGTCAGGAAAGATATTTTTGTCAGAAGGAAGAAAGAATTGAAGAAGCATGTTGAAGACCTGCTGACTTACGAGTTGGGAGTAAGAGGAAAAAATGAGGTTGTCTAATCAATGCCATGACTGATTACTGCTTGTAATTTCCAAGACCACATTTTCAGAATTAAGACCATGCATGGAATCTTGAATGAATCACTGCCGTTGTGAAGTTCTTTAAGTTGACACATCAGAATTATGTCATTTTAAACCTTGTACTTATTCTTTAATTTTCCTAAAGACAAAACCTGTTTTTCTGTTAATGAAGCTAGCTTTAGTTTTTAATAATAAGGAGAAAAAGAAACAGATAAGAGATTGTAGCCATCCATTCCTGTGTTCCAGTCCTCAGCTTACTTCTCCACATCTTCCAGCTAGAAAGCCAGGAGTCATAGCCAAACACCAAGTAAGTCCATGGACCCAAGTGCTACATGAAGGGATGTTTTCCTAGCAGTTTTGGCTTTGTACTTGTTTCCTGTGTTGGCTGAATGATTGCTATGAAAGTAATCCTGTGGATATCTCCAGCTTAATTTGTGGTAAATCATGCTACAGTGTATTTACCTTTGACTCATCTATGGTTTTAAGAAGCGCTACCAAACTCCTTTGTCAAAATATTGTGGTACAGGTGCCTTTAGAAGAGTTAAAACACAGCCTTCAAAGAAATGGCACAGATATTTAAAGACCAGGTCTTACCTTAACTAGACATGTTTCAATTTTTTTTAATCCAGTTTCTCCAGAATTCCCAAGCAAATGGGTAACTTCCATGATAATTATCTGAATTTTATCCTTCTATTGTATCTGCTTTACAGGTAAATAAATTGAAATAAAGTGTACTTTGCCCAAAGTGCATATATATAAAATAATGGACAATGAAAAATAAAATGCACTTTTATTCACAGTCTTTAGTGTAAGGATTTCACTAAGATTAGCAACAGGATCTTCATGAATAAAAGAGATTTTCTTAATGAAAAATCCTGCAGATGATCTTTACCTACCCTGTCTTCTACTGAGACCAATGATTAAATTATCACTTGAACATTTTTTACTTTATTTTTACAGCCACTGTTGTCACCTTTCTCAACAACTTAAGATAAAATAATTAGTAAATGGCAGAAAATAGAGCAGCACTTTAAATTAACAACATTTTATGAATTTTACCTCGGACAGTGTGAAGCTGGTTTTTGAAATGGGCACAGTTGTTCCACTGTGGTTTCACAGGTGATAGCCTGAACTGAAGAAAATAAAACACCAACAAGTAAATGCATACTATTTAGAAAAAGTAGAGTAGTACTGAGCTTGTAAGAAATAAATACTAACCTGTTACTTTAGAGACAGTGAAGGAGTTAGCAGATTGGTATTTTCTGAAGAAGAAATATTAGAAATTATCAGTAAATAACATATTTCAGTGATTTCTTTTAGCTAGAATAATTTTTATTAGAAAATATGGAAATAAACCCAAGAGAATGTCCATGATCAGGTTTTAGCCACTGCACCTCCTCCCCCACAGTTGCAATGACATATTTGCTTTGTACTCCCAGTGAATCTGTTTCAAAAACAGGAATGTGTGTTAAACTCTTTCAGGAGTTTAATTTGCTAAGAGAACGTGTGATAAGAACCAAGTAAGCAATATATTGGTCCCTCATAATGTAAAATGTGGTTGCTCAGAAGCTTTCATCTACCAGAAGAGGTCATTCAGGTTTTGCTAAAGGTTCGTTCCTATAAGCAAACCTAACACTGAGAAGAGTTTCTCCTCACTGCCTTTCTGAAATGTTTAATTAAATTCTACTTTTGGACTTGGCATCTCCTGTCATTATCAGCATCATTAAAAACCCAATATAACATGTAAGAGCTCTTTTTTCCCCCAGTAATTATACAGCACTCAAATGTACCTGCTTCCTGTTGTTATAAAAAGTCAGGTACCTAGATTATGTTATTTTGTTACAAATTGATGAATGTTTCTATTTTGTTCCCCTAATCTTCTATTTTCCTTCTCTTTTGACTCCTAGGATATGCCTGTGATTGTGATATTTTTCATCTGTAACAAAGAAACTGAGGATGCTTTGGCACCCATAAAGTTACTTATCAAAAAAACAAAACAAACAAACAAACAAAAAAAACCCAAACCAAGCAAAACAAAACAAAACAAAACCAAGGAAATTATTCCCTCTTCACCTTTGGAGCAAATTTCTCCTGTGGACCTCACTGTTTGCCTGCATCAGTTTATTTACTTGTGTGACCCATCAATTTCACATTGCTCATTTACTGGGTCCCAATTAACTTTCAATAATGTAGCTCATACTGCTGTTGCCCTAGCATTGTCAAACATTGATGAAGGAATATGTATTCTATTGTTGACTAGCTTGTTAAGATATTCAGAACAGTACCCTATCCTAAGAAAATCCAACAGCTGAAAAAACACTGGCATTAGCCATCCTGATTAGAAATCCAAGGAGCTGAAGATTAGAACACTTGCTGTATGCTGTCCTGACACTTACTTTTCTGTATTCTGTATTCTGGTTTGAAATACACAGTAGAGGTGAGATTCACTTTATTTCATCTATTCTTGAATAGACTAAATAGTATTTTATACAAGGCTCCATCTACAGACACTGGTGAGAGTCAGGTAGCTGCAAGGCATCCCCTGCCTTATTGATGGGCCTTTTGAAGGTTTGAAACTTTGGCAAATAATCTTTATTTATCCCATAGCCAAAATAACTTTCCCTGAGTTCCAATTCTCAGAGGATAGGTGCTAAATACACTCTGTAGGCTGGACAATCATACAGTTTTGTCTCATGTAGCATAGAAATTCAGAGATTTCAACTGATGGGAAATCAATTGGTTCCAGTTTAAAGATTTTTTTTTACAGCTTTTTTACTCCTACATTTGTAAGCAAGCTGGCTCCTCATATGTTAGCATTGATATAATCAAGATCTACTTCTCTTTGCATCAAAGCAAGTAAAAAAATGTCTGCCTGTATCTTCATTTTTAGGCAAGTAAATCAAACCAGAGTCTGGTCATCCGATGATCCAAAGAAACTGATTTATATCAATGCTTTAAGTGCTACCCAGGTAGTCCAAATTATAGGCCACTCAATTAAGGCTACCATGCCAATGCTCCTCTCTATGCAGGATTAGACATACCTGTTGAAAAGAGAAATGATGACAGGTGTCATAGCCTGTATTATTTGTTTGCACTGCACAGAGTGAGAGCACAGCTGCTGATGATTACCTGTCTCCTGGACTCTTGGGCTTACATGGGAGCAAAATATATCACTCAGAAAAATCCTATTTTCTTTCAGCTCAATATTACTCCTTTGAGCTACACGCATACCACCATTACATGCACACTAACTACAGACAGAAATAAGGACTTCAGTGTAAAGTTCTGAAGAATACATTGCGAAATTGTGAAATGTAATTTGAAAATACCAATAATATCTTAGATTCAAATATATTAATATTGATGCTCTTCATCTATCATTAGATAATTATATAAGAAACAGCCAAGCATTCTCCATTTCTATGAGTTACTTTTCTGAGCTTTTCTTTAGCATGTCTACAAGAATTTGGAACTCTTTTCACATACCAGTCTTAAGGAAGGCACCTCAGCAATGCAGTACAACTCCAAACTAAGTTTCCACAGTATGGAATATTATTCTATCACTGGCCAATGTAGAAATCATGCAAAATATTTGTGAAAAATGTCATATGTAAACTATGGAACTGTGATGAAATTACCAAAGCATACAGGAAGAGATGTCTTTTCTTCTTTTTCCATATGCACACTACCAGAGGGTCATTTACAAACATGAACTTGTAATATTACTGCTTTGTTAACTGTCATAGATTGCTCTGTCCAAGTCCAAAACACATAAAATAATCTGCCAGTATGTGCTAGATTTTGACAATAAATATATACTCTTACCAATTAATTAATTGAATACTCTCAGCATTATTTAGCTACAAAAACAAAGTTATTGCCCAAGTCACTCTGTACATTATTTAACCTTCTTTCACATTATTATTGTGCCAACTCTGTCCACCATTAAACACTGCCTAAAGTTTCAGAATGGATACAATATTGCTATATCCACATGCCTCTTTATAGCATTTTCATATTATTTATGACAAAAAGGCGTAGCAAAATGTTATTAAAAATGTGATATATTTTGTATTAAATAAAAATAAACAGATTAAAACCTTTTCATATATTTTAATTTTAAGAAAAAACTTACCCAATTGACTGAACACCATTTCTGTAAGACTTGATAAAGTAATTTTTCCTCCCTTGCCTAGTCACATCAACCCAACCACCTTCATTGTCTAGGATGCCATAATGTATGGCAGCTTTACAAATACTGGATTGCTGAAAAACAGAGCAGGAAAAGCAGATCCATGTCAGACAAAAAACAGATTTTAATTACGTGTCTTTAAAAACTTGATAAAGAGACTTTTATGTTTGACTTGGCTCACGTAGGTGTTATTTCAAGCAAATAAACCACCACTTTGCCTTACTCAGAGATAAACTATTCTCATTTACAGTTCACTGGTTCACAGTAGATGTAATTTCTTATACTGTTTTCCCATTCTACAGAGTAAATGATATACTCTCAGCTAGTATTAAGGTTATACACAGGCAGGTCCATCTTACTGAAACAATTTATACAAGCATACCCAAAAATTGCTGTACTCCTCCTTTAGTCACACCTTCACATATTTACATGTAAATATGTGGACACAAAAATTCTATTTCTGTGTATCTATAAGTATGAAATACATTTGTACAGTACACACAGAGTAGCAGATGAAAATTTAGGTTGTCTGATGCTTTCTTAAACATTTCGTGTAAGCTTTCAGTTTTGGTGAATGCTGACATCCTCAAAATCCATTCTTAATATAATTTTAACTAATATGCCAACAGAAAAGACATTTCATCAAACACTCTACTGCTACAAAATCTAATTTAAAAGTATTTACCATTTCATAATGTACACTTCCAATAACTTTGGCTTTGCTATCCAAACAGCCAGCAGGACATTCATACCTAAGAGAATTAAATACAACTTAGTTTTAAATCCTGGGATTACAAAAAGGGGAAATATTCCAGCTCATGTACAAATATAGCCTTTCAGAAAAATCCCAAAATGACAATTGTAAAATTTACTGTACCTATTGCAAGTTGTTCCTTTGCACTGATCTCTTAGCCTTACTTCACATGAAACAATCTGAGCTAAAACAAGCAAAAAGCAAATTCACTGCAATGAATTTGATACTAGATAATTCAATTTTGTTGACCACTTGCAAATCAGGTAAATTCCTTACACATTTGCTGTGTGCTTATCACTTCATTTTTCTCATTATCGTCAGTGCCTGTGGAGGCTGAAGGTTGATGTGTTCTTGGCCGGCTTTGCACAGTTGCATCCTGGGCTTTGGATCGCTGACGTTCAATCTCATTGGTTTCCTCTTCTGGTTCATGGGGGGAATACAGTCTTTCTGAATCCTCTGTTTCAGAAAATGGGCAAAAAAAATATAATCTCTCAGAAAAAAAAAAAAAATCTGTGTGGAATGTAAATCCTTTACCATGTTTTAGTAAAACTGCTTTGTTCTCATAAAATGGTGGACAAAAGGAAGAAAGCAAGGAAAACTCTACACTGCTTCATAAGCTGGAGAACTCAAGATTAATAAAACACATCAAGTATGTTCATGATACTTTTTTTTCCCAGCATGTGTAGCACAATTGAAACATGAAACTGTTATTAACACACTTGTTTTCAGATCTTCATGCCATCAGAAAACCAACTGGACAAGGACAATCTCTGTTACACATGGGCAAAGTATTACCAAGTTCATAGCATGCAAATAAAGCTTATTTCACAGTAACATACACCTGAAAATGAGGTCCTTCTATTCATACATAGTGAAAATAATTCTGAAACACTCCTAACTGTATCTGCATTTCGTACTTAGAACCATAAGGAAGCTACTTGGGCACACACATACAGCTTTCACATGGTCCATATGAAGTCTCAGAAGTTATTGACAAAAATTGCTAAATGAGTTGTTCACGGAGTAGAATAAAAAGAAGTAGCAGCTTCGTAATATGCTGTAGTTCAATGCTATAAATGCTATTCCAAACATTGTAAACTAATAATCCTAGCTGACATTTTCTTTAATTACTAATGTCTTCCAGCTTTGTTCTTGGTTTTTCACACACAACACATGACTATGTCAATGAGATAATGTTTCCCTATAAACAAATTACTGCATAGACTTCCAGTGTAATTACAGAAAGACATATAAAGAGCACACAGTGAGTCTCCATCTTCATCTACTAAAAGCCCTGAATCAGCACTTAGCAGCAGGAATTCAGTGCACTCCATTCCCTCTGGTGAAACTCAGCCTCACTCATCACAAGCATATAATCCCATTCAGCATAGCAAATTAGGGCCTAACTGGTCTTTGGACACACACATAATATATTTTATTCCACTATGTTAAAGCACAATGAGGAAAAAAATCAAAAGAAAAGTTACATTTCTATTCCTGTTTATAGCTGTAATGGTGAAATAGTACATACCTCTGTAACAAAGGTTTTCTCTACAACCTCCTCCAAAACTAGGGGGACATGCAGAACAGGGGCGGCCGGATTTATAAGGAGCATGACCCCACCAGTTACCCCTTTACAGAAAAAAAAAGCAAAAAATGCCTTAATCAATGAGCACATTAACATGTTAATATTAAACAGCACCTAATATATCAAGAAATAAATTATGAAAACCAGCAGGCACATAGACAACACTCTTCTGATATTCCAAAGTCACAAGCAATGGGATGAGAGGAAATGGCCTAAAGTTGCACTAGGGGAGGTTTAGATTGGATGTTAGGAAGCATTTTTCACTGAAAGATTTGCCAAGCACTGGAAGAGGCTGCCCAGGGAAATGGTGAAGTTGTCATCCCTGGAGGTATTTAAAAGGTGTGTAGAGGTGGCACTCAAGGACATGGTTTAGTGGTGGACTTGCCAGCATTAGGTTACTGGCTGGAGTCAATGGTCTTAATGGTCTTTTACAATCCCAATGATTCTATGATTCCACACCAAATTCACAGGATCTTGTTGAAAAGTCCATGAAGAAAAAAAATTAAAAACTGACATAAATCACTGTACAATCTTTTCAGAGTGGTATAGCACCATAAAACTAAATTCCTCCACTTCATGAGAATGGGCTCCACTCTCACCTAGATGGAATATTCTATGAAGTTTGATCTTAACCATGGGCTTCCTGTTGCACATTCCTTTAAGTCACAGTGCGGAAATACATTTATTTTTCAGAAAAATATCACACTATAATAAAGGTCTCTGATGTTGTATATGTACTAAAAGACAGGCCAGAAAGCTGAAGCACCAGAAAACTCATGAGAGTATTTGTGCAGCCGAAGGCTGTTTGGAAACAAGGCTCTATTATGTAATGGTACAAAAACCAGAAAATCCAGACTGATTTCCTTGCAGATTATTTCCTGAACTATTAAAAAGTATCCTGCCCCCTCAAGATATTTTTGGGTGTCAATCTACTTACTTAGGAGAATAATTGCATACAAGATAAACTGCTTTTGGCCAAATCTGCCCCCAGATGTTCATGTTATGACACAAATTAATTGCACAACCGATTCTGCTACTTGTAGCCCAAACAACCTACGGAAAAGAAAAGAGGAAAACCAAAGATGATCATCTTAAAATCAAAACTATCTCCAACATACAAAACTCAAATTACCAAAGTGATGTATTCCCCTCTGCTATAAATGGCTTGAAGTGGTCTAATTACAGCGGTCAAAAGGCCATTCAGTTATACCCTAATTAGAGAGAAACGTTTTACCTAGATGGTAAAGATATGACTCTCATTTTATACAAATGCTATAAGCATATATTTGAAAGTGTAGCAAAACATTTACAAAACATGATCTGAAGATCTGATTCTAGGAATCACAATTAATTGATAATTGTGAGCTAGAAGTTATGGTCCTGTGTGCTGGAGTTCCCAGTACAACCTAAAGGCCCAGAGGGATTTGGATTGATTGGACTGAGACAACAGATATTCTTCAGCAGTAAAAGGAGGTAAGAAAGGATAGAAACATTAATAAAAATATTCATACACTGAATAGACCCAAATAATGGATTTTAAATTAATATTCTTTTATGTCATTGCAACCTAAGGTGGCTGCACTTTTTATTCACATTTCATCGCAGATCTTAAAAATAATCAAAATTACAAAGTCTGGATTGTTCAAATGATAAAAATATGACAAATGTTGAAAATTTCTTTAGTCAATGTAAGCCAAATCTGTAGATCCAGCAGGATATAAGAGTTGAAAGAGATAACTATTGTGAAGAACTAGTACCACAAAAAGCTGTCTATATGTATTTATCTTGCATGTAATAGTAAATGTAATTACAGATTATAGATACAGTAAATAAGAATATAGAGGTAGCTTTATTTTTAAATGAGATACAATTGTAAATTATGCTACTAAACATAACTGTTTAAAATTTCATAATTTTTAAGTTTTCCAATGTTAAATCAAAAATTATATGTGGGCCATAGTATAATCTGAAGATCATGTAGTTCCTATTCATTTAAAGCATGACTGGTACCCCTCAACAAAACTTCAGGCTAGATACACAGATTTCAGAAATAGGAAGTAAATTATCACTAATTTCAAAATCTTCCTGAAGTTAAGGCAATGTCCTAAAGACTACTGTTTGATCTGAGGAATGTACCTAAGAAAACTTTTTGGTTTTTTGTTAATGAGCTTTTTCTTCAACCTATTATGGGAAGGGCTATCCAAATTATGCAGAATGCGCTGAGCAATAACACTCAGTTTAACACTGGAGCTTGTGAGCTTTTTCCTCCATCCTGCTGATATTTATGAGGATGAATTTAAAGATTTGTATGACCACCTTACTTTGTCATTGATACCCAGTGCTTGTAACAGTGAAGTCTAAACAAGCCCCTTTTGTGCTTTTGTGCTGTGCTGTGGTATGTAGTGCAATTTTGTGTGCTATAAGTGTCACAGCTGGAAGTCTCTGCCACTCTTTTCATATGTGATTAAAATCAAGCACACCTTACATACCTGTGTGTAATGTGTACAAACAGGACCAGAGCATCTATATGGACAATACGGATTGCATTCATGAGGATGGGGATATGTGAAATCTTTCACTTCATCATACCATGCTTGGACATGAAATGTTGGAGGTCTGTACCTAGGAAAGCCAGTAGCATGCATTAGATCATTCAAAAGTTGTAGCTTCTGCCATTTTTTCCTTTTATTAACAAGCAACTTTTGTTAGATTTTAAAAAATCTTGTATATTGCATAAAATAGTATCTTAAACTACCTTCCCCAATGTGCCCCCAGATTTTGTCCAATTGATGGAAGAAGGCTTGCTGGTCCATGCTCCCACAGACAGGTTTCAGCCCATGACTCTGCAGATCTCTCCAGTTCTGTGTCCCATGTCTGAAATTTAAAAGAAAATAAAGGGAAATCTTCTTAAAAATATTTGGTGTATGTCTTATTCTCAAAAAAAAAAAAAAAAAAAAAAAAGAAAAAAAAGAATAATTATCCATTTTTTGAAGTTTATTTTACTGAGGCAGAAGACTGAAAAGTAAGAATTGAAAAATGTATGCTGCATTTGTGCTTCATAAGAAAGAAGAATGCTTTCACCAAGAGAAAAAGTTTTAATCCTTTCACAGCACTCCCTTTAAAAATCACGTGCAACCATGCTGCAGTGAATAAAGCACAAATACAAAACTCAAAGGCTTAGTTCAACTTTCCAAGCTAAATTAAGTGCATTTTTTGTCTTGTGAAATTGTTTTTCAGTATTGGGCATTCTTTTAACTGAAAGGGGGTATTATCCAACCTGCTTTCAAACAAGGCTTTATTTCATCTAAACTAATAGTTTATATGAAATGAATGAGATTTCCACTTCCTTTTCTATAACCACCTTTTGTTGAAAGAATACACAATTCCAACGCAAATTGTTAAAACTAGAGTAAGGTTGTCATTCATTGATTTTATGGATAGGTTGGTAAAAAAGGGACATTCATGATAGTAAAGAGGCATGTTTAGAAGAAATAAGAAAAAAAAGATATCATAAATTATTGTTTATCCTTAATTTTTATTCTTTAAGGAGGATGGAAGAATAAGCTTGCAGCTGAAAGGTAAATCCAAGTTTCATTCTCTCAAAAGCCTACTAAGACATACTCTTCTTGCAAAAAGTCGTACCATACTGTGAATGCATAGCTTTTACTGCACTAAGCTGGGGTTTGCTCGAAGTGGTCCATTGCTCCAGTGCAAAGTATCCATAATTTTGTTTAGCTTTTTGAATTTCCTGAGAGCTGCAGAAATAGTTTCCAGATACCTGATTAATACCAACACAAAGGTTAGGAAACTAGAATGCCTCCAGGAAAGAAACACATTCTTGATAGAACCTGAAGAATTTCATCATGTGTTCAGACTAAATTTCATAAAGTGAGACTATGCTATCTAAATAACAGTAATTCAATATTTTCAGATTCAAATTCCCATGCAGACATTGGAGATCATGTCTACTCATTTTTGGCACAGATAAAAGGTAGAAAACACAGCCAAAGATTGCACAAATATAACAGACAAATTCCGCATGCTAAAATTTATTTTTCTATGGATTTTGGCATGTGGTTTTCAAATTATTAATCAGATAACTCTTTAAAAACAAGTATGTCCTTGGTTATGCAAGACCATTATTATGTAAAAACTTTATTATCACTCAATTTAATCCTAGAATATCTGTTCTTGTTTCTCTTCTTCAGAAATCTGTAATGCATTAGATTACATTTTGTCTGTTAATATTATCAGCAAGTAAACAATTTGCAGGGTATATTTTGACTCCCAAAATGCAACATTTATTTTTACAGAAATACTCAAACAATATAATAATGACAGAATAAATCTTTTAATCCACCTATGGATACAAAGACCAGTGACTTTAGAAAATTGTACAAATTTTCCATTCATTCTCCTACGCCATTATTTCTGTGTCATAAACCACAACTTTTTTAACCTCCAGAAGAAAATACTCTAATCTTAAATAATGAAGTGACTTTTTGTATAATTCTTTTCCCCTTCCCTTTAGTTGTCACACCATCATAAAATGTTCTTCTCCCTATTGTGCCCATTGTAAAAACACATGAAGATTAACACACTTCCTCCCCATTTATACTTTGTTCTTATAGGCTGTAGTAGAGTTGCTTCATCTTCTACCACAAAATCACAAGACCATAATATTTTAAAATAAAAGCCACTACAATTTGTCTTTGTTGCATATATTGTATGGTACTAAGTCACCTCAAAATCTTATAATATGTAGATTTAGTTCTTAGGATGAACAAGTCATAAAGTTAAAATATTTCCCGAATAATTGCTATTAAGAATGGTTTTGCCAACTGGACTCTAAAATACAAATTTAGAATAAATTAGACTTATGATAGAACAAAAATTTTGGCACTTGCTCAGTTTTAGAACTTCCTACCTCCAAGGCTAGCTACAATTTCTTATAGCTCTTACAACCTTCAGAAAGCCAGAAGATATTCTCTTGTAAACCATGCCCCCACATTTTCCACTTTTAAAACATCAGACACAGTTAAAGGAATTGTACTATTATTCTATTTTTCTCATCACACAAGTTTAAAAATATTTTATGCAGCTATTTTAACTGAAATAATTATACTTTTTTTTTTAAGTTTAGAGCTACACAACCAATAGTAGCTGCTTGAATCAACTCTTCAAGACTGTGAAGTAATTACCTTTAACAAAATTTTCTTTAAAGACTGATGAAAGCTATGCATGACAGCACCATCCAGAACTCTGAAAGTACAGCTTTTCGATGAAAACCTGAAATTCATTGCTAATCCTTCTGACAGATGAACACCCACACTCCAAGTACTGTTGAAATTGGATATGGTCTTGAAAAAAGTTCTGTCTTCTTTAACTGTTTCTCTGCCTTCATCCACAGTATAAAATATTGTCTTTACTCCCTTTACCTTACCTAGCCAGACCTAAGCACACTTCCCACTTTCTAGGCCTCACCATAATGCACTTTCCTTGAAGCAGCTTCATTTATGAGTAAAAAAACATAACTAATTTCTTTCTCATTTTAATCGCTTAAGTATATTTTGAGATGTGATGGAGTAAATATCAGAAGTGTTACATATTCAGATGTAAAAGAAATTAGTCAAGTGTAAATTTCACTATAAGAGGAAAAAACTCCTTGAGTGCAGTGTTTATTGTTATATGGGCTCATTTTCTCATCAAAGCCTCCACTTCCTGAAATGGCTTCAATAGAAGTTAAAATTAAAAAAAAAAAAAAACAAAAAAAAAACCTCTCTCTACTAAGGAACATAAATTTTATAAAACATTCTGGAAGAATGTCCAAATGTCTCAGTTCCAAAGAATTTCCTAGATTAGAGTCACTTTCTTATTACCAGAGACTTCAAAGAAAAAAAATGTGAATAAAAAATCAACTAATCTCCTACAGCCAGTAGACAAAAAAGAGATCCAAGTGCTAGAAGTCACAGTTACTTGTGTCTCCAGGACCTGCAAAGACAGAAGCCATAAAACACAAATCCAAATCAACGTAGAAATTAAAAGGTTTCCCAATCTCCAGGATCACTTTCATGACCTTTCATAAAAAGAGGGAAAGATATTCCAGGCTCAAGGATGAGGCATCCTGATGAGCAAGAAATCAAGCAAAGGGGGCAAGAGACCTCTGTTGATGAATAAAGAGCTCCTGTCATTACTCAACTATAGCCAAGAAATCCACAGGAGATGGAAGCAGCGTCAGACCTCTTGGAAAGAACATAGAGAGGTTGCCAAAGTAAATAAAAATGAGAGAAGGAAGGCCAAGGCTCTTCAAGAATCTGGTCAAGGACAAGTACAAAATGAAGGACTTGTTCAAATACAACAATAACAAAAGGAAAACTAAGCATAGTGCGGGCATGTTACTAAATGGAGGGGGGCCCTGGTAGCAGGACACAGAGAAAGCAGTTACTGAACACCTTCTTTGCATTGGGTTTCACTGGCAAGACCAGCCCTCAGGGATCTCTGATCTAGGAGACCAGAGTAATGGAATGGTGACAGGAGAACTTTCCCTTTGTCAAGGTGGATTGTGTCAGAGAACACCTATCCAAACTTGAGATCAACAAGTCTAGGAGCTCTAACAGGATGCATCCACAAGTGCTAAGAGACCTGGCAGATGCAATAGTGAGGTTGCTCACAATCATGTCTGAAAGCTTGTGGAGATCAGTGGTGCCTGAGGACTGAAAAAACATAAATGTCACCCCAGTCTTCAAAAAGCACAAGAATGAGGACCCAGGAAATGACCACAGAGTCAACCTCACCTCAATCCCTTGAAAGGCAATGGAGTACATTCTGGAGACCACCTCTACCAACATGAAGGACGAGGTGATCAGGAGTAGTAAGCACATATTCACAAAAGTTAAATCATGCTTGACCAACCCCATTTCCCTCTATGATGAGCCAAGACGACAGGAGAGCAGTGGATATCACCTACCACAACTTTAGCAAGGCTCTTTTTACACTGTCTCGCACAACATCCTCACAGGCAAACTCAAAAACTGTGAACTTAAGAGATGGGTTGAGACCTGGCTGAACAGTATATCCCAGAGGGTTGTAATCAGTGGCACAGGGTCTATTTTGGAGGCCTATCATAGTGGTGTCCCCCAGGTTTTAATAATGGACCCAATATTGTTTTAACTTTTTTAATAATTACTTGGATGAAGGGGCAGATGTCTCCTCAGGAGTTTCATTGATGACACAAAGCTGGGAGCAGTTGGCAATAGACCAGAGAGAGAGCTGTGCCACCCTTCAGAAGGACATGGACAGAGCACAGAGACAGGCAGAGAAGAACCATCTGAAATTCAGCAAAGGCAAATGCAGGCTCCTGCATCTGGGGACAAGGGTGTCAAAAGACTGGAGCCAGGCTCTTCTTGGTAGTGTCAGGCAATAGGACAAGAGGCAATGGGCAGAAACTGATGCACAGGAAGTTCCACTCAAACATGAGGAACAACTTTACTGTGTGCATGACTGAGCATTAGAACAGGTTGCCCAGAGATGTTTCTCAATCCCCCTCACTGGAGATATTCAAGAATCATCTGGATGTTATCCTTTGCCATATGATCTAGAATAACCCTGCTTGAATAGGGAGGTGGACCAGTGATCCGCAGTGGTCCCTTCCAACCTTACCAATTCTGTGATTCCATAAATGCTATCCTAATTCCTGACGCAACCACTAGGAAAATTATCTTTTATTTATACCTGACTACTCCAGTAAAGTAAAAATTATACACAGCTTCTAGTAACATGAATACATATGAAATTTCTGAAAACAAATTAAAGATGTGTACAAAAAAATCTCTAAGACTGCAATGACATATCACAGCTTACTCCAAGAAAATTAG